ATGCTCAGGGGGAAAAAAATGACTTCAAATATTAAACTTAAAAAGTAAAATTTTCCATTAAAGGTAAGCGCTAGACCTCTGAAGCTAGTCTACTTGTATCTCCAGAGAAACCACCAAAGAATCCCTGTAACCCAAATACTCCAAAAGCTGCCATAAGAACTTTCTGCCAAGACATATACTCCAGAACATGTACTCATGGAACATAGTAAAATTCCTGACTCTTTTCCGCAAGCTAAGCCCTATCACTATCCCATGCTTTGCCCTTATTAGATTTCTGGGAGAAGATACCAATGCAAACACATTCCTGATTAAGGAAACTTGTCACCATCGTCTAGCATGCAAAAGCAGAGAAGGAATCCACACTAACGGTCAGGGGATAGAAAGCTTCCTACTCTGCTCCAAGTGAGAAAGGGAGAAACATGGGAGATAAGAAGTTCTGTAGCTTATAAGAGAAAAAAGAAATCAAAATTCCCAAGTCCGGGTTCCTGTGGGTTATCATCTGGGAACACAATCGTGTCAGAGAGTTTCTGTGGAATCTGGAAGTAGCAAAGGTTTGATGTGTGTTCACTCCACTCAGCTCTAGACTTGACTTCCATTACTGAACTATATTCCAACTTGTTACGGGCAGAAGTTAACTTCTAGAATTTTGTTGACCAGAGAGTGAAATAATGTCTAATGAATGGAAAAGATAACCCCGAAGATTACAGTTTATGATCCTGCTGGATATACCAGTTTTAAGCTAAATAACCAATCTGCAACTGTTTTATGTATCTAATTTCTCAAATGCTTTTTCCAACTATTTTCTACATTTTATTGGCTCCGTTGCTTATTCTTACTTATAAAATAAGTTGAAGAAAACCTTCAACATATTCCTTTCATATCTGCATGAGTTGTATTTTTACCCTTTCAAAAATTCTATTTCAACAAGTATCACTTTTAACATTGTTTCTAGAGGTGACCATGGGTTATACATTCAAAATAAGCAGCCCTTTACATTTTCAATCATCTAAGTTTGGAGTTTTTAAATATGAAATTCTTTGTAGAAAGGGCTAAAAATTGTGAAGAAGCTATAACTTGGAATAAACTATGTGTAAGTTCTCTTATAGGAGAATGAGCTCTGTTATAGATTTCTTAATCATTACTATATAATCAGAGGTCACATTTATGGCTAAAGATGTAGGGAGAATTTCCTTTCCACAGAGGGAAAAAAATAAACTGAGAAGCAAACAAAGCTGAAAGATGAGTCAATAAAACTGGGAAAGTTCAGAAAAGTGACTTTCCTCTTAAGTTTGCATATCAGAACTTCCTATAGAATATCTGTAAATGTCAGAAGTTTGGGCAAATTATAGTTGTTAGTTGCTATTCGTTTTTACTTTATTACAATTACTGTGTGTGTACATATACATATACATATACATATACATATACATATACATATACATATATATATAAATTTTTTTTTCCCCCTGATCCCTTACACTCCTGCTATGAGTGAAACCATCTGGTATTTTTTTCTTTCTGGCTTATTTCACTAAGCATGATCCTTTCCAGGTCCATCCATTTTGCTGCAGGTGGCATGAGTTTATCTTTTTTGATTGCTGAGTAATAGTCCATTGTGTATATGTACCACATCTTCTTGACCCAGTCATCTATTTTGGGGCATTTGAGAGACATTCTATACAGGAGAAGAGGGGAAAGGGGAAGAACACATGGGACTATAGTAATGGCACATGGGTGAAATGGTGGTGGGAAGTGCACAAGGATTACAACTAAAATGAAAAATGTACAAAATGAAGAATGATGTAATACAGATATATATATGAAAATAAAAAATTTAGGGACCTCCCTGGTGGCGCAGCGTGTTAAAGCACAGCACTAAGAAGCTAAAGCTGAGTTCGATCCCCGCCCTGGAGGTGACCCACATGGCAGACCTCTCCTGACCTGCCTGCTGCTCCCCTTAGCAGTGTACCTCATCCATCTGCTTGTTCTGCTCCCCACTCTGTCTCTGGTGAATCTTCTCACTGGGTCTGTACCCCAGTTCTGTATGCATAAATAAATATTTAAAAAATAAATACATAAATAAAAAAATTTTTAAATAAATTAAAAAAATAAATTCGATAATGGGAAAAAAAAAGAAGTTTGGGCCAATTAAACCTGAATATCTGAGAATGTAACCAGACACCAACACTTTAACATCCCTTCTTTTCCTGAGTGTTCTGGACTCTCAGTTTTCTAGTGGTAAAAGAAGATAAAGAACATACTTACACCCTACCAAACTTACAGTGTTGTGACTAATCTTAGAGTGTGGCAGTAACAAAAAGGAAACAGTTTAAATAAAACTACCACTGTATGTATCTGTCATTGTTAGGTTCAGAGATTTTTGAGAATGGACCGCACAAAATCAGTTAAAGGCTGCAGCCAATGAAACCTGTATAAGAAGCTCAACAAGCACAACAGGAGCCAAAGGGAAGCACAACAGGAGCCAAAGGGAAGAGATTCTGCTGCATAAACCTCATTTGGCAACACTCTATGACTCATCTACTCAGAAGCACCTCTGCTCAGGATGGGCAAAGAGCTCTGTGGACTTTAAAAAGACTTAGATACGAGCCTAGGAATGAGCTAAAAATGACATTAATAGAAAACCAAAATACCCAGGTTTGACATATGTGTTTTCTGGAGTTTAAATAGAGAAGGAAATTAGAGGGAAAAAAAATCTTTCTCTCTTATATGTGTCTGTATTCCATTTTCTTTCCCTTCCAATTTCATCAAAACTTCCAATGACCATCTTGTTAACATTCACGCATCACTACCCACTCAGTGGTTGAAGTCAAAAACCTAGAAATTATTCTTAAAATTTCCCTTTCCTTCAACAACTCAATAAAATGCAACAGCAGTTCTTGTCAACTTCTTCTCCGAAACATCATGAAGCTTTGTGTTCTTTTCCTTCTTTCTGAAACAGTCCCACACCACAATACGGTCAGATCTGGCCTGGACTAGTGCTACTATCTCTTCCGAGTCCCTTGCTCCCTCTCCTGACTCCCCTACAGTGCACAGAGCGGTCATGGTAGGAACGGCGGAAATTATAAAGTCACTGCCCTCTCTAAAAGCCTCCAACTCTAAGCCTTCTGATAATATCAAGAAAAGACCAAATGCTTCCTTTTCAATGGCTTCAAAGACCCCAGCATTTAGCATTTTCCACATGGCTCTCCTACCCTCTGGGCCTCACTCCTGTCAAATCTACTTCCACAGAAGACTGCTTCCTCTCATCCTTCAGGTTCTGCTTCAAATGACACTTCACGGACCTCACTGGCCTATCTAAAGTAGTCCTTTCTTCACCATCCACCACATTATTTTCTTCATGTCCATCACCATCTATAAACATGTGTATATGTTCTACCACCAGAATACAAATTGTATCCTGAACAGAGGTCTGGTTTATCTTATGCACATTTCCTAGGACCCACAACAATACTTGACATTACAGGCACTCAAGGATTTGTTTCAGCAATAAATACTCAACTGGTGGCATGGTGGGTTTACAGGCTGAACTGGAAATAAGTATTTTAGTTGTATCCAGTCTTGGCTCTCCCAGAAAGTAGCTGTGTAGCCTTGAACAATGGACAAGAGTAACTAGACTATAATAGAGTGCAAACATGAAGTTTATTTTTAGATCTCCTCATTTAAATTCAAGAATAGAGACATAGGGAAACCTTTAACCCAAATCTCAGTTTCCTCATCTGTATGAGATGACTTTGAATGTGACTTTCAGCTCAGAAATTAGAATTATGTGGGCCAACCTACTTTCCATCCTGAACTTGGCTTACTCACTTATCTACACCCCTCCCACTCCCCCCACTGAGTCAAGGAGCCTATCCTGCAACCAACTGCCACACAGAGCACTTTACAGACTTCACAGTTGCTCCTGCATCTCTTCTCCAACTCCAACCCCTGGAAATACCACCCTTCAAAGCCCAGATCACTTACTAACTTCCTCACAGAGTGTTCAATCACCTGCCCTCACTCTAGTATGAACTTGTGTTCAGGAAATTGTTTTATGCTTCAAATTAAAAGTACTCCCTGATCTCTCAGCCAGTTCCCTTCATAAAGGGAAGGTAATGTTTACCAATCCATACGCTACTGCTGGGTAACTAAGAATACTGAGCTTCATGAGAAAGGCTGAATAAACGTATTTACTGTTATACATATGCGTGTGAGTGTGTGTGTGTGTATATACATACGGTGTGACACTCCCTTGAGTGTCACCACTGTGACTGTTGTCTCTGAATGTCTAAAGGTTTGAAGCCATTTTATCTCCCAATGCCGAGTTTTTGTACACATAAAACGAAAGAAATGGACTAGGTCAATTAAACACTGCCTTCAAACACGAAGGTCTCTGTACTCTTTACATAAATAGCTTAAAGCGAAAAGGCTCCAGATGAATTCTCTTAACTTTAATCCTGCGTAGAGACTCAAAAGCGCTGCAGGTGAGCTGGGAAGGAGGGAAATTCAAGAGGAACTGAAACCATGGCTGCAAGAGGAGGCAGGATGGGAAGCACGAAAATTACATTGACTGTGGATCTGGGGATCCTATCCAAAGAAAGCCTTGCCACCGTGGTGGGTCCTCTGAACTGCTTAAATTGGGCTACGAATATTTAAAGGAGCCTGTGCCCCAAAGGAGAAAAAGAGGATGACAATGAAAAGACCAGTCGTAATAAAGAGTAAAATGTAAGTCACAAACCGACGAGAGTGTGGGTAACAAACCCAATGCCTCTCACCTGACCCTAACCGCAAGGAGCGGGAAGATGATGACTCAAGACCGCTGGAAAGCAGCTGGGGCCGGTCAGAAAAACTAAGGCGCCCTAAGGGCGCGAGAGGGTGTCTGCGGAAGCGGTGCAACCTCAGAACTCTGCACCTTTCCCAGGCCGGCCCCCAGCCCGCAGGCCCGCGGTTACAGACCCGGGCTGAGACTCCTCAGCAACCCCCGCTTCCCGCCCCCGTACCTGCGGGGTCGAGAGCCATCTCGGCGGGTGGATGGATGGCAGCCGGGTGGCCGCTCCCGGGAGGGGGCGGGGAGGGGAGGAGCTTGCTTTGGGCTACACGTGCGGCCGCCCGGAGTTTCCAGAGGGAGGAGGAAGAGGAAGAGGAGGAGGAGCGCGGTGCCCTTCCCCAAGCGCGGCGGACCCCTTCCCTCGTCCTTCCTAGTCGCTACTTCCGTCACCCACTGCGCCTGCGCCCTCTTGGCTCCGCCCCCTAATCCTGAAACTCCCCAGTGGAACTGACTTCGAGGAGGGAATGACCGGGAAGGAGGCGTGGCTGCTCGCGCGCCTTGGGGGCGGGACCTTGTCAGGCCCGCGCAGCCTCGCTGGGCCCCGAGGAGAGCGACGCTTACAGATCCCGGGAGCTGGGGGCCTTTGGGGACCGCGAGTACGTCGCCTAGAACCGCTGCCGCCACACCCGACTTCGGAAAGCCAAATGAATTTTCCTGTCCCTTTATTTAGTCTTCGCTAACATGCGTTCATTCATAAATGTGCGTTTCTTGCCTGACATTTTCCAGTTACGGTTCTGAATACTAGGAGAAAATAACTGAACATAAATAAGGTCCCTGTTCTCGAGGAGCAGTGTTGGCAGTAGTCAGATACAAGCCACACGCAGTTAGCCGCGACTAGCGCCACAGGTGCGACATATGCACAGCGTATTCTACGAAGGTGGGGATTGGCATAGTGGGTTCTGTATCGGTATTTCCCAAATCTACAGAGGTTAAAATTAAAATGAGGCACTTAAGGTACCCCTATTGTGTGAAATAATATTCTCAGGGCGGGCAGTGCGATTTGGGTGATGTTACAAAGCCCAACTCTGTGCATTAAATATTTGCTTTGTGAGATAAACGAAGGATAGTGATAGTCATCTTCCTTTCAGAACCCCAACAGCCCTCTTCTCAAAGCAGAAGAAACTTTCTGGGTAGCATCTATGTTCATTTCCACTCACCATTCAGCCTTGAGAAAACCTTCCTTTTCATACCCAAGTTAGCTGGAGCCTCCGAAATGTGAGGGGCGGCTGGGGACAGATGGGGCAGATGTTAGAAAAACATGGAGCAGCTGCTTCTTCCCAGTGAGGGATTTAGGGCTTTCAAAATGATCCCATTCCCCACCTACCTGCAGTCCGTGCTCCCCTGCTGTTGCTTCCGCCTGGTCAGTTGGCAGAAAAGCTGACGCAGTTGAGCTGGGCTGGGAAAGTGGGTCTCTGCTCAGCAGGTCTTTCGTTTAAGGGCCTCTTTGGGTATAAGGTCCTTATTACAGCTGTAGGCTGAGGTGCCAAGGTGAAGAATTAATGTTTCATTCAGTCTGGCAGGAAATCAGGTCCTTTTCCTTGAGTATTGTATAAATGTGCTTAGAAACACACCGTTTCATTGTGGAGCCCCTTGTATTTTTCTGGAGGTGAAAGATTTAATTTAGAAAGTAAATATTTTTGAGGAGACAAAGTGAGGCATAAAAACTCAGGTCAGGCACACACTTACGTAACGAAATCTTTCCAGATACAATAAGCCATCGGACAGAAATATGGAGAACTTTTCACTAGTAACTCACCTCTACCTGAAACCTGCATCATATTTATGATTTACTTAAATTCTGAAGTTTCTCTGGACTTTGGCTCCTAACTTGAAAGTTTCTTGTAAGGAATAGTGTGTGATCATTATCACACTGCTTCAGTCATTTAAGGATCACTTTTATAGTTGTTGCCATAACTGAGTATCACTTTAACCATTACTAGTATTTTTTTATTTAAAACAACTCACATTTAAAAAATTATAAGCAGGTACTCTCTACTTTAAAGCCATACCAGTAAAAATCATATATCAGATGTGTTCTGTAAAACAGACTGTTAGACATACCACAGTAACAAGAAGCACTAGCAAAACTAGCACCTCAATGCCTGCTACAAAATCTGTATTCCTCTCCTTTTTTATATTTGGCCAGTTTGGGAGCAAAGTATTTACACTGTACAAGCAAAAATAAGCCTTTTTTTTTTAAGTTAAAGAAATTTAACTAGCTATTTAAAACAAGAAATTTCCTAAGATATCACAGTGTTAATAGGCAAATATTTAGGCAAAAACTGCAATAGAAGCATAAAGAAGGAGAGCACCTTAGGCTGGAAAGTTAAGGGTTGTTTAACCATCCATGGTCCCTAAGGCTCAGGCAGTAAATAACAACTAGTGGTTCCTCCATAGCCTTTCACAAAGGATTGACTGGTTAGAAAAACTTCAAAGACTAAGTCGGAATTATGGCTGGTCTTGCAAGATGGGTGGCATACCAGAGGAGAAGGCTGAGATGGAGAACAAAGCAAGAAGACCCAATGGTCTAGGCTGGAGGAGTAGTACTTTCATGATGTGTGAGTGTGGGAACATATATCTAAACAGGTAATGGATCCACTCCCCTAAATCAAACAGTGCTGTGAACCATTATTATCTCAATTAAAAAAAAAAAAAAACTACCACAAGAGAAAAAACATGGTCTACATATACAATGAAAAATTATTCAGCCTGAAACATTGCCATTTGCAACAACATGGACAGTACTGGGGGTGGGGGGGTTATGCTAAACAAAGTTGGTCAGAAGGAGAAAAATAAATGCCAGATTTCACTCACATATGGGACATAGAGAAACGCTGAGGAACAGACAAAAACTAAATCAAAACAAACGCTAGAAGTATGACAGCAAAACTGAGGCTACAGATGGGGAGGAAAAGGAGAGCAAAATGTGGAAGAGACCTAGTGGTGCACTATGGCTGCCTGAGTAGTGTGTGTGGTGGGGTGACATGCATCTGTAGAGGTGTCAACCTATATCTCTGAACGACAGTGTTGTAAGCCAATGTTACCTTAATAAATAATAATCATGCAATTTTTAAAAATAAAGAGGGCCCTCCCTGGTGGCACAGTGGCCTGCACTGCGAAGCTGGCCATGGCTGCTTCAGTGTAAATTTGATTCTAGGCCCTGAGGTGACCCACATGGCACAGCAGACCTGACCTGACCGGCCCTCTGCTCTCCTTCATCAATCTGCCTGTTCTGCTCCCCACTCTGTCTCTGGTGAATCCTCTCACAGTCCCTGCACCTCTGGCCTGTACCCCAGTTCTACATAAATAAGTTATGCATAAATAATTCTGGAGGTAAGGAATAGAATTTGCAATAGCACAGGTCTGGAAAACACAGGGCTGAAGGCAGATGTGTGGTTTTAATGTCTGAAGCCACTTCAATGAGTCTGAGGATTCAGAAACTAGGGTAGTTATAAATGAGACTGAAAATGATAGAAGAGACCAGATTCCCCACGCCTCAAGTATTTGACCAAACAGTGTTTGAATTTGTTGCTGCAGCCAGTCTGAAACTGTTGAAGGTTAACAAGCAGGAAACTGGAACTGCAGCCAAACGGATATTTTCTAAAAACAGAGTCCATAATAGACTATAAATGGTAAAAAGTGAGCCAGGAGATAAACAGAACAGCAAAGAGTCTATAGCAGTTCAGGAAGAATCTGAAAAGAGCTTTTACTAGGATGTATAGAAAAGTAACAGAAAAGGTGGCTATGGGATAATTGTAAAGAAAGTATCTTTGCTTTATCTGTTTAGGAGAGCAGAACAAGCTGTCAAGGAGGATTTCTAGGCAATTCTACTCCTGGGTAGATTTGTACAGGCAAAAAGAGTTACAGACAATGAACTCATTCACCCCTCAAATGATCCATCCTCGATCCTCATTACAGAGCAAGACCAAATCAGAGAAACCAGTTAGGAGGAAGTTGCATGGGCAGCAACACCTGCAATCAGGCTTCATAAGCTCTAGGCTGGGAGTATCACTTCAAATTACAGCCCCAAAAGAACAAGGATTAGACTACCAAGACCCATAATCCCAGAAAACCTGGACCCACATAGGTAAATCAGTGGGCCCCCATCGAACAACACTGGGACTCTGAGTTAGATAGACAGACACATTAGAACTAGTTCCTCAAAGGATTCCGAAGACCTTGCCCTTCTGACAATGCTCTGAGGTCAACAAGTAGGTCCCACTGACCATCCTGGGGTTCCACTTTGACCAGAAGTACCATACAAAGAAGCGAGGGGTTCCCGGGGTATAATTGCAAGCAGCACCAGAACAGAGAAGGGCTCATAGATCCAATAGCAAGCCAATTCAGCAACAAACTAACTGTACAATTTCAACCCTGAGCAGTACCAAAACCAGGTTTAGACACCCAAATACATATAGGCCCAGGAAGCATGGAACCATCATGGGACAAATAAGTAAAACAGAAAGTCCCACTCAAACCACCATGGGATTATTGGTACCAACTAGAGCTCCATTCAAACCAGACTCCCCTTCATTAGACCTAAGAGTCAACACGGCCTTGAGCTATGACTTTCATCTGAAGCATCATGGAAGCATCCTCCAACTCCTGGTGATCCAGAGTAGGCAGTACATGCACCCAGGCTACAGTACCAGGTTGAAGAGCAGGCCCCATCAGCAACAGCTGGGTTACCAGTTTATCCCACAGAAACCTGGCTTTGGCTGCTGTGACCCATAAGCAGGATTAACCAAACCCCTCCTGAGCACATTTGTAAACCAGCAGACCTCTCTCGAAAAGCCCTAGGGTTCCAAGTTCAACCACCAGCCCCACTAGAACCATTCTTGGCTCATGATCCCCAAGAACCAGTACACCTTGGAATGAGCTTTGAGGCCTGAAGTTGCAAACCGGTTGTTCCCACCATACTAGCTTAGGGCTCTGAACCTGGTCAAACTCTAACCCATAAAAGTAACTACTCTCTATGATTTCTGTGAAAATTTATTGTTTTTTCCCTGTTTTGGAACACTCTATCTAACCTCTTTTGCTCAACTCAATAGCACAAGATTTCCCCCTGTAGAACATGTCTACATTTCTGTTCTCCTGCTTCTGATGTGCGGTTGGGTAGATCATTTCTTTTCCCGACTTCAGTTTTCTCAATAACACCATTTCTGTAGGATAGCTTACACACACACAAACACAGAAAAGCTATTCAGGATAAAATAGGTTGTTCATAAATCCTGGCTATAGTATAATGATTATCTTTTAGTTTAAGAAAACTACCCTTTTGAATTATGATTGTGTAACAGTCAGGTTTGTTAATTTTTTTTAATGTGATAGTTCAGAGCTACTTTGCAGAAGTGTAGGTAACAAGACGCTTAAATCAGTA